GGGGGGTCCTGAGCCATTTTTGGCTGATCCCAGGAGGGTCCTGACCCTTTGGGACTGATTCCCTGGGGGTCCTGAGCCTTCTGGGCTGATCCACGGAGGGTTCTGAGCCTTCTTACTGGTCCCTGGGGGGTCCTGCCCCTTTGGAACTGGTCCCCAGGAGGGTCCTGAGCCATTCTGGGTTCCTCCCACAGCACTGGGGATTCCTCAGGCTCCCCTGATTCGGGAGACGTGTTGTTTTGCTTTGCTGCAGTTGTTTAATTGCTGTAGTTAATAAAGTTGAATCGGTTGTGGGGTTGTGGTGGGTGTGTGCTTGGAACAGGAGCTCTTTATTTGGGTACAGCAGCTGTTTTAAGCACCCAAATTGCCTAATTTGCTGGGAACTGAAGGTATTTTGCATTTTTTGAAGTAAAGAGATCCACTTTTGGTCTCTGGCTGTCATACCCTGTGAAGAACTGGGTGTGTTTCACTTGTAATAAGGTAATATTTACGTGTATCAGCCTGTCATTCCTTTTGGGACTGTTCTGTACCAAAGGTACATTACAAAAGCACATCCTCAATTTTCCCGTGGAAACTTTTAGTAATCCAGCTTTTTTTTTTTAACAGTTAAGTTTTTGTTTTGTGAGTTAAAAGGCTGATTTCTCCTGAGGCCAGAACTGGGCTTATTGCTCCTTGTATTCTGCTTTCCTTTCACTTGTTTTAATGAAAAAAAGCCAAGTGAATCACTTTAATGAGTGCACAGCTGTGTGTGTGCACTGAAGTTATTAATAATTCTTAATGCTTTAAAGCTTCCTGCATATTTTCCTCATAACTGGATTTAATTTAACAGTTACCTTCCAAATAACCCCACTGCCCTTTTTGTTTTAAATTGAAAACCAATTTAGTTTTGTGAGTGCACTGGTGGTTTTATAGGAAGGATTATTCCCTCTGAATTTGGCTGAGTGTCCAATAGGCAAAAGGATCAGGGGCAGATTTAGGATCCCTTCCTTTACAATTCCATGAGTGCAGCTCCTTCAGGCCCAGGAGCCTCATGTGCTGGCAGCTGTTGTGCTGGAATTGGGGATCACACCTCTCTCCCTCTCTCAGTTTTTCTCTCCCTGCCCATTTTACAGCTCTAGTTCATCTCCTTTTTCACCACAGGGATAATGTGGAATGGTCAGAAGAGCAGGAATCCAGTGCCAGGAGTAAAGTTCAAGAGAACAGCTCCCAGCTATTGCCACAGGATAAACAAGGTACTGTTGGAGAGTCTCCTCTGCCCATCTTGGCCTGTGCCCCAGGAGTGGAACAGTGGCCAGAGCCACCTCAGCAGCAGCATGAATCCCTCCCTGCCCCCTCCCCAGTCACTCAGAATGCTTTTCCTACTTGTTGGTAATGGGAAATGGAGGAGGAGGAACCTTCCTGTTCTTAAATTACCTCTCTGTGACTCCTCCACCTTCTCCAGAGACTCATCCTGCTGGAACAGGCGTGGTCTTGGTTGGGAGGAGTCAGCTTGGGTTGAGCTTCTTTGTGGTGTTGTGTGTGTTTAAATACTTGTTACTGTTCCTTGTCAACAAACCTCTTTGAGTGTAGAGTTATTGTGCTTTCTATTAACTTCCAACAGTCAGTCTCTTTTTGTTGTGGAGTGATCCTAATTCAAGCTCAGTTCTTCTCCTTAACAGGGGCTGATAAAGTAGTGTCCAAATCTGTCTCTACAGAGTTAACAAGCAGCATGAGAATAATTAAATCATAGAGTCATAAAAAAATTATTTTCTCCTGAAAGTGCTTATCATGAGATAGACAGCAAAGGGGTTCCCAAATTTTTATTGTACTTGGCTCAAGGGATATTTATACACCCAAAATGTGGAGCTTACCTGTGTCTGAATCAAGCTCAAGGCTCACAGCTCTGTCACTCTCCACTCTGTCAGAGACCATCCAGTCCCTCAAATGATGCTGAAATGGTTCTTTGGTGTGATAAGAAACTTGTCTGATGATGATCTTGCCGAGCCCTAGGATGGATCTGCTCCCTTTGTCCCCATCTAATGGAGTGTGTCACCCTTAAGATGAAGCTCAGCACTACTGGAGCTATTGAGACACTTCCCTATAGCTCCCAGTTGTGCTCACAATAGCAAATCTAATTATCCCAAAGAACAACCCTCCTCATTTCTTGGACTGCCAGAAGTATCCAGCAGTTCCCATTGTGATGCCCATTGTGTTGGGTTCAGTTTCAAATCTGGTTAGCATTAAAGGGTGCTGTCTGTCATGCTTTGAGAACCTATATACAACCAGGAAACTGGGGAGCAATTTGCTGTTGGGGCACTTTGTCAGGGCTCCATGATGTATTTCCCAGCCTGAACAATGCAGGCCAGTCAAATGGTGATGGTTGCTATTCACTGGGAAGCGTGTGGAGACAATGGGATGGCTGAAAAGTAGGGAAGGCAGCCCAGGAAAATGTGCCTGAAGGGTCTGGGAGTTTGAGAATCAGAATGTCCAAGCAGGAGAACAAAGGCAGGCTATTGGTCATTAGGGCTGTATTATTCTGTGCACTTCTTGGGGCTGTCAGGATCTGTTCTGAAGGAGCAGAGGAGTTCTGTGGGGTGTGTGGAGGATGTGTCTCCTGGCTGGGAGCAAAGAAAGAAGTGGAAGGGTTCCTTGGTTTCTTTTTGAGGCTCCATCATTAGCCCCTGTGAAATTCAGGGGGGTTGCCCTGGTTCTCTTCCTGTCCTTTGTGAACAGTTCCTTTTGTTTGCCCTCCTTCTGCAGGGTGAAGGGCTTTACAAAGACAAGGAGGAAAGTCAGGAGCCCTTGTCAGGAAGGTCTTTGGAGGAATCTGGCTCCCACCCCAACATCCCCATGAGATCATACCACAAAAAGGGGCTGAAACAAATGTGATGGGAACTCTTCTGGCTGAATGTCAGCCTGAAAAATTAATATGGTCATTTATTTGCTTTCAGTCTATTCCTTGCATGATATTTGTCAGCCAGCCCTTGATTTCTTGTATTTAAATTGTTACTGATCCTTTATTCTGGTGCTTTGAAAACACCAGGCTCTGAATAAATGAGCTTTAAATAAAGCTTCCCCTCCTGTGGGTTGGGGTGTAACAGCTGTTCAACAGCATCCAACAGAATTCCACAGTAATTTAACACAGAAAGAGCACAAAGTCTTGTGGCAAAAATCTGGGTAATCCAAACTGGGTAATCCAAAGTGGCTGGGCTGGAATTTTGTCCCAGCACCTCAGATAAGCATCCCATTCCAGTCAGGCTGCCATGGGATTGTCAGGGACGGGCAGGAATCAGGACTTTGTGTTTTTGGGAGGTGAAAGAGCATTTCCAGCCCCAGCAGCCTCACAAATCCCTACTAATATATGACAATTCAGGAAGGAGTGTGCCAGACTGTGGATCAATAACACTTCTTCCAGCATCAGCAGTCCTGGAGCTCTTCCATGAAAATACTGCACTGACCTGGCCCTGCCCACTGTGACCTGCAGTGGGACCATGGCACAAACTCACTGCCCTGCTCTGATACCAGACATTAAAATTTCTTTTGGATTGGGGTTTAAGGACAGGGCTTCTTAAAAGGAGAAAATCCTTGTAGTTGAGGTAAAGAGATTATTTTTATATATAGCTCTTTGTGCTGCAGGGATAGATCCTACTAAAAATAGATATATGACTGACTTGTGCTTCTTTGTTAAAGCCATTTTTGTCTATATTTGGCTGAGGGTACATATTTTTCCAGGTGTTCTGGGTTCACTTGACTGTCTCCCTTCAGAGATCTTCTGAACAGTTTTATGCTTTTAAAAGCCTTAATAAATAAACTGCAGTTCAGGCAATGATACTGATCTCCAATCAGCTTTTTTCAGTAATGGACTTGTTGCTGTGCAGAGATGGTTGAGGAATTCCATGCTATTGGAATGCAGTTGGGATTTCTGGCCATGGATATTTCCAGGTGATTCCAAGCATAAAGTGCTGTAATTAGGTCCTTAATTCCCAGGACAGAGGACTCATCACACTGAGGATTCAGAAAGCTACTTGGATTTTTAACTTCCCATGGAAGAAATAGTTCCCCCAGAACTGCACTCGGTCTGAAATCTGGGAAATGAGTGGAAATAATTCTGCAGGTGACTGGAATTTCATTAGGCCAGTATTATTCCAGCTCCCTGTAATACTCATCCTGCTCCTGGAATGATCCACTTGGTGTGAAAATGCTGCTGCTGAAGTTCCTTCTGATCATCTTTAGCATGTCCACCTTAGC